CGTTTTGTAAATACCGTCTTTTGAAACTTGTATTACTTGCTTCTTCTTTTTTTTTTTTTAATTATACTCTGCTATGTGAATACCATCGTCTGTCATTGCTTGTATTTTCACTTTATTATTATATATGATTGTATAGTGTAGGAGATAGATAAGTCATGGATGCATGTGGATAGAAGATTGAAGGTATATAAGTTAGGGAAGTCCTACCTTATATCGAGTATAAGTTTTATTCTTTAAGTAACCATTTATATGTCTTGGAGAATACGGAGGAAGTCCTATCTTATATTGAGTATGAATTTTATTCTTTAAGTAGTCATTTTAAATTATTCCTTACATTTATCTTATATACAAGAGACCGTAATGCTTGAATTTTTCGTGTCATGTAGGGAACATATGATCCACATCAAGACCACTTATCCAAAATTTAAAAGAGAACAAAGTGGCTGCAAGATAAGCACAATAGCACTTCATTCAATGGCTACGCTTTAAGGTATATGTTATTGAATAACATATTGGACTTTTAGTTTTTTTTTTTTTTTCTATGTTAGATTGAATTAAGATATGATTAATTTGCAAGTTCAAAGTGAACTTAATGGGAAAGACAATAATGACGTATTATAAAATTTGAGGTGGCTAGAAGCTGGTCCAAGCATGGTAGTGCCATCATATAAGAGCTATCTTATTAAATATGTTAAATTTAACACCAAGGTACAAAATGATGTGTGAACTGTCTAAAATAGTAGAGTTTATTTACTTACACATACTATGCAAGTTGATAGTACTAAGGATAGACAATTGGGTTTTTATGGTGTCATTCAAAAAATTTAGGACCTTGATTACCAAAAGTTTAGAATCCCAGTCTTCAAGTGTGATTGGATAGACAACATTTTGGGCCTTGTAGTTGACGAACTTGGATTTACCCTTGTAGATCTGAGTAAAATTGGACATAGGAATGACCAATTTGTTATGACTTCTCAAGTCAAACAAATATTTTTTGTTGATGACCCAATGCATCATAGTTGGTCGATAGTGTTATCAATGTCTAATAGAGAATATAATGATGTTATTGGTGATGATGTGCTAGGTGATATTAGAATTGAGTGTGAACCATTTACTAGAGGGATACCCAATGTTGACACATTTGATAACCTAGTGGGTGAGTTTGAGAGTGAAAATATTAGAGATGGGCGGGAAGATATATGGATTGATTGATTGTTGTAATGTATGACATTAGTTATGCAGTTACTTGTATGACATTAATTAATGGCTCTGTATGACATTAATTTTGTAATAAATTGTTATGTTTGGCATTATTTTTATCACTTTTTCATTATGCAGGTTTTGGGCACGACAATTCCAGTATTAAAAATACTGGGTTCAAGATGTAAAATAAAATGTCCAGTTAACAAATTGCAAAAAGTAGACGTCTAAATCATACCCAATGTCGTATTTTAACAAAAGAAGTGGAATGGATGATATAATTACCGTACATAAATAAAAACTGCCATTTGAAATAAAAAACATGTTGGTTAATTAAAATTGATATTACATGTCGGTTAATGAATTACCAACAACGATGGTCACATTAAGCTGTTACTTTTCAAATTTCATGTTGGAGATGTTCATAGAAGTGACATTTCAAAAGTAATAACATGACGATAAATTGCACAAACCAACGAATTTTAGGAGAACACTACGACCTTCCATAAATATTTACCGTCCTCTAAAAGAACCACAAAAGGCCTCTCAGTTCTACTACTTGTCGTGAGAGCTCTTCTGAACGTAAGTAAAATGATAACTATAGTCATCTCAGAGAATACACATGACGATATTGGTGTTACAAGCTCCGTGTACCAAAGGAACCACATCTATATTTATATTCTTCCCGTCGTGGTAAGCGTACTAACGACGACGACTAGGTAAACACTATGGCCGTAGTAGACAGATTAACCACAACGGTTTATTTTCAATAAACATTGTTCAATTTATTAACCACTTTGGTTTATTTCCATTAACCGCCGTGAAAACGTTTTGAACGACCGATACGTAATATTTGGGTCGTGGTTACTCAATGTTACAGCAGTAAAGGAAAAAACAGTGACATGTTAATGACTTCAGACATCATAGATTTCCAAAAAGAGTCATCTAAGCTTATCAGAGTCGGCATTTTTGCTGTTTTTTTATATTAATTAGACGTCGGTTGTGAAAAAATAGTGTGGTCGTATATAGTAATAACTACGTTCTTTTCATATTTATGGACGTTAATACTGCTTTTGAATATTGGTAGTGATCATGGGCGTCATGGAATATTCTTAACAAGGCGGTTTATTTTAATGGACCGTCGTGGACGACTAAATAAACAACGGTAAGTTAGCACTTTGGGTCGTGGTTAATCTGTGTTGCGGCGCTGCGTGTGTAATTTTTGACATGTAATCAACTCTAGATATCTCGGGTATTCTGGAAGCATCGTCTAAGGTTGTTGAAGTTTTCCTTTTTTGTTGTTTTTATAGTAATTAGACGTCGATTTTTGTTTGTAGATGACGTAGTATGTCTTAACAACGTCGGTGACGACGTTATAAACAATGGTAAGTTAACACTTGGGGTCCTAGTTAATCTATCTTACAGCGGTACGTATGGAGTTTTGATATGTAATCTACTTTAGACGGCTCAATGTTTCTAAAAGCGTCGTCTAAGGTTGTCGAAGTTTTCATTTTTTGCTGTTTTTATAGTAATTAGACATTGATTTTTGTTTAGAGCTGACGTAGTGTCTTAACAACGTCCGTGATTTCCCCCCTCCTCCACCCACCCCCCAAAACATACATCAAACTCTACCTCCGCCCTAATGTTTCCTATGTAGTCCTGCACTCAAAACAGTAGCCTATGATTTCATCAATCAATATAATGAAAGAATCAAAAGGTTATGGGACATATCGCCATCTATACACGTCCAACATCCTTGCTTTTCCTCATATTTCTACTTGTCACTTTGTCCCTTCAAGGACTACTAGGTGCCGAAACACGTATGAAATCCCTTCGATTCACGGTATAGTTTGCATATAAACTTGGTGAATGAAGAGAACAAAAGAGATAAATATAATAGGGAAAATACAATCCTCTGAATCACTGAAAGTAAATGAGTTCTTTTCACTTTCACTTGGAGATCATGAACCCTTTATTTTGGATTTGGGCTATCCTTTCCTATATTACTTGTAACATCACTTCAGCGTTTTCAGCTTTTCATCACTCAAAGAAATTTCGGAATCAAGGTAAACAATTCAACTATGTACGATAGCCACCGCATATTATCAACCCATCTCATCGTGGACAACTCTGAATTCTGTATCACAGCAGAGAAAAAAACAATAACTTTGGATGTTGTTCATGATCTCAGAATAATTCCGGATGTTCAACTCTGAAGTTCCCAACTTGTTGCAGTCACTGGCGGACCTACATTTTTTTAGTTGAGGTGTAATTTTGAAAGGCTAAAAACTCTTTGTGGATTGAACATCTAAGGCTTTTTATCTAGATTGACCTTAGGTCACTTCATGCATTTATATCATACATGAAAAATTGTTTTATGTAAAAATATTGACTAAGTATGAAAAATGATTTTTTGGAATAATAATTTTCTTAAGATAATTTTTGGCGGCTTTTACTCCTTACACATCAAATAAGAAAACTTGATTTTATGGGATTTTATTATAAAGTATATATTGACTTAATGAGCTATCATTTTTAGCCTAAATCGTATTTTTGCACTAAAACCGATTTTCATATTTTGATTTGGTGGGAATTTGATTTTCTAGTATTTTTATTTGAATCCAAATGGGGGGTACTACCTTATTTACATTGTAAACTTAAGTAAATGGAGTAATATAACAATAAATGAAAGTAAAAGGACAAAGACATTTAAATGTTGAAAATGGAAATAACGTAATATGTACATCACCACTAGTTGAACAAAGGGGCAATTTGAAGCACCTACAATGATTTTTCCAATGAAGAGAGGTGTAGCTACATCTCCTTGCGCCTTAATAAGTCCGCCATTGGTTCCAGTCATAATTCACAAACAAACTTGTCATGTAATGCTACTATCATCTACATCATCATAATATAGTGGGGAAAACTAATTTATATAAACAAATAGGGTGGATCTTTACACACCATATATGTTGTACATATACTGCAGATAGGCATGGGCTAACCAGATTATAACCTAGATTACAGGGGAAAATCAATCAAAGCTAGAGACTTGTATTATTGGAAATTATTTGAAAAGGTGTATATTATTCACGAAAAATTCAGATTTAAATGTGTAATTTTAAGTATATTTGTAGTAGCAGACATGGATGTGCTCCTTCACCCTTCATATGAGCTCTGTAGTTTAGATTAGGTTAAAATAAAATATTGTTTGTATTAAAAAAAAAAAAAGTATATTTGTAGTAAAACGGAAGCACTTCCAAAACAGAAAATAGAGTGTTTGGCAAAAAAATTAAAGTGCTTTAAATGGGTATTAAAATCACTTTAAATAAATTTATGAAGAAATACATGAATCACTTTAATGAATAGAAAAGAAAAGAGCTTCTCGAATGGCAGCGTGTAGGGTCCCAAAATTCCCATTTTGACATTCCCATTCCCATTGCCCGAGTGTTCGTATAAGCAGCAGCAGCAGCAGCT